GGGGAGAGGGAGAGGGAGAGGGAGAGGGAGAGAGAGAGAGAGAGAGAGAGAGAGAGAGAGAGAGAGAGAGAGAGAGAGAGAGAGAGAGAGAAAGAGAGAGGGAAGGAGGGAAGGAGGGAGAGAGAGAGAGAGAGAGAGATAGAGAGAGAGAGAGAGGGGGAGGGAGGGAAAGAGAGAGAGAGAGAGAGAGAGAGAGAGAGAGAGAGAGAGAGAGAGAGAGAGAGAGAGAGAGAGAGAGAGAGAGAGAGAGGGGGGGGGAGAAAGAGGGAGAGAGGGAGGGGGGAGAAAGAGGGGGAGAGGGAGGGCGAGAGAGAAAGAGAGAGAGAGAGAGTGTGTGTGTGTGTGTGTGTGTGTGTGTGTGAGAGAGAGAGAGAGAGAGAGAGAGAGAGAGAGAGAGAGAGAGAGAGAGAGAGAGAGAGAGAGGAGGGGGGTGGGAGAAAGAGGGAAGGGGAGGGGGGAAAAGGGAGCGGGGGAGGGAGAGGGAGAGTTGTTCGTTGATGTTCGTCCTTCGGAGGCGAAGACGACCTTGACTTCAGGTCTCACTGGGGGTTGTGAGTGCGAAGATGGCTGAACAGTCCGATATTCGCCCGGAATTGTCTGTCACAGTGAGGACACGTAAGTGCCGATGGTGGGCCAGGCTGGGACGTGGTGCTTGCCCTGCTCTTCTTCCGCTGGCGTTTCTGCTGCTCCTCTTCCACGCGCCTCGCTTCAAAGCCCTTTGCTCCAGTGGTCACTGAAACACGCCAGGAAGGGCGGTCTTGTGCTGCTCTCTCCCAAGTGTCGGGGTTGATGTTGCAGCACTTGAGAGATGTCTTGAGAGTATCCTTGTAGCGCTTGCGTTGTCCTCCCTGACAGCGCTTGCCGTCTTTAGGCTCGCTGTACATCAGTCTCTTTGGCAAACGCTCATCGGACATGCGACACACATGTCCTGCCAATCTGAGTTGCGAGCGCTTCAGTGTGGCATAAATGCTTTCTATCTCTGCCCTCTGGCAGAGAAGTCGGATGGGACTAAATTAGGTCTGTAAGGTGGATGCCAGACGATTATTTCCCATCGAAATTCACGAGATATTTTGGAGATGTAATTGTTTTCTTGCTCTCGAGGAAGTCAACCAATAAAATCCTCTTTGCATCCCAGAAGACAGTGGCCATGATTTTTTCTTTTGCTTTAACTGGTCCACTTCCACCCCTGGGCAGCCATCGCTTTGACTGAATTTTGTCCTCGGGATCGGATCGTACTAGTCGAGCCATGTTTTATCCCTATTCACAGTTTTCTGCAGAAAAGCTCCAGAGTCCTCATCCCACTTGTCCAAAATTACCGTTGAAAGATCCTACCCTTGTTTGCTGCTGATCTGGGCACAGCCCATCTAGCGGAAAGCTTACTTAGCCCCAAACTCTCCGCCAGAATGGGGTTTGCAAAAGTACTCGTGTCAAGACGCTGAGCGAGGTTGGTTCTAGGTGGGGCTTGTTTTTTATGATCATTATCTATTTAACTAGTTTCTTCATTTGTCTAATAATTTTGTAATTTCTTTGTTTATATTTAAGGCGTAGGTCAGGACTGGGATTTATTTTTGCATTCAGCTTATCATTTCTGCTGGAAGGAATGAGGGACACTTTGGTAAGGGCTGATGACACCAGTGAAAGTGCCTGAAGGGAAGGAGCGACGAACACTGGTGGATGGACCGAAATGACACTCTGGAATGGCAGAAGACATACCACTGGGAGGGTCGAGGAGATAATGGAGGGTTCAAAAGCGTATCTTTGGAAAGGTTGATTGGCAGTATTGGGAAGGCCTACGGGCACTACTAGAAGTGCCAAAGGGTCACAGTTGTTAGGGCCAAAGACATTATTGAAGTCAAAAGGTCGACGAGACCTATTTAAAGGGCTTAAGAAGGGGAGAGGTACCACTGAAAGGGTAGAAGAGACACCTCTGTAGGGATTGAGAGGCACTCTTGGAAGACCTGAAGGGCATGCTTGGAAGGGTCAAGATACATATATTTTTGGCCGTTCGCCATAGACGAGAAAAGTGTTTACATATGGAAGCAATGTGGCTGGGGAAAATATGCATCGGAAATGCTACTGACTGGAAAAATGCTCTGTGTAGAAAGGGGCACACAATGAATGGATTTGCTGAATTTGAAAAGTCTCCATTGATACCAATGAGTATTTGCAAACACAGATCTGTATGATGTATAGTGGACGGTACCGTGGCAGGTACTACAATTTAGTCCTTTTCATTTTAACCAACAGCAGGTGCTCCTCCCCTCCTCCTCGTCACTCCCTTGTACTGAAAAGTATATGCTACGTGCCCTTGATCCCCACCACCTGCTTCACTGGTTACCTTTTCTTCTCTCTTCTTTTCTTCCTCTTTTTTTGCCGTTTCTGTTTTGTGTTCTTTCTTCGTTTCTTTTCAACTTCATACTTTCATGTACTCTAGCCCTTTTCTAATGCGAGGGAGGCACGGGATGGCGATGGTCGCTGGGGCCTAAGTGGCGTTATTCTCGTTGTTTTCTTCCTTCTTTCATTTATCATTTGAACTTGTTTTCTTGTAAGCTTTCTTGCTTCATTCTAACATTGCAAAAGCGGGCCGTCAGCAGGAAAAAGAAGTGCAATATAAATGTAGCCTCGCTTGTTTTCCCCTACTGAAGATAATACCTCTTAATGGCGGACTATTCTACTAGGATATTACTGAATAACAGAGAGAATTGTTTGGTCGCTTGTTTAACATACTACATGTTCTAGAGTGTTCATGTTCCCCAAATAATTTTTGTGCTGGACAACCTTAGATAACACAACATGTCAGTCAAAAATTCCCGCTCCACTCACCCACCCAAAGTCCCTGGTTACGCCTCTGAAACTTACCTTTTTTCTGCCAAATCAGTATGATGTAACCGTCACTGACTGCAGCTGACTAATGACTAATATGTAACTTCATGTAATCCAATGTCAAGGCATATAACGGGTTGAATTTACACGTTATGTATAATAGCGTAATAAAACACACACACACACACACACACACACACACACACACACACACACACACACACACACACACACACACACACACACACACACACACACGAAAGATCGTAACGGTTACAATAAAACCTTTTCCAGCTTCTTTTATAAAGCTTTTTGTAGTAATGTATGCCTTATTTTAAGCTTTTACCACTGCAGTGTGATCAGAGGAGACAAACGCAATTTTTTTAAATTACTGTTTATATAAAGACTAATTGAGGACTTCATTAATTCAAAATTTTGATGAATGTACCACATCATATAAATAAAAAATGAAACTTTCCAGCTAATAATGAAAAATAATGAAAGAAAAAGAAAAAGAAAAGAAAAGAGTAAGGGAAAGAAAAAGAATACTAGAAAAAAAGAACAGTAAAAGAAAAAGAAAAAAAAAAAGAAAAAAAAGGAAAGAAAAAGAAAACAGAAAAAGAACAGAAAAAGAAAAAAGAAGAAACCGAGAAAGAAGAAGAATAGGCACAGAGAGAGAAGAGAGAGAAGAGAGATGAGACGAGAGAGGAGAGATGAGAGAGCGAGAGAGAGAGGAGAGAAGAGAGATGAGATGAGAGAGAGAGAATGAGGAGAGAGAGAGAGAGAGAGAGAGCACCGCCCTCGTGTTCCTTCCCAGTTATCACTTAACGCCCGCCGGTCCCTCAGCCCTAATTTTGACCCTCAGGGAGACCAAGATTATAGTATTAGGTAAGACGTGATGATAATTGATTAAAGAAAGACATTGCAGTAAACAAAGGGAGGGAAGGAAATGGGGAAACTGTTAAATATTAATGTTTTTCTCTCACTATCTTTGCCTGTTTTCTTCTGTAATTTGTAAATGATTGACGTCATATAACCACCTTGTGTGTAAAATACATTTTTTTAAATCTATATTGTATATTTCTGTAGGTCTCTCTCTTTCTCTCTCTCATTGTCTTATTTGTTCATATTGAATTAGTTATTAAAAATAGGCAGTTGGTTATGAACGTTTTTTTGAATATTGTAGGCCTATAATTTTATCTTTGTCTTTGTCTGGTACTTTAAATTCTTTTTTTTTTCTTGTTTTTGCTTTGTTTATATGTATGTTATTTTCTATTTATCCATGTGTTATATTCAGATATGTATTTTTTTTTTCTTCTTTTCACACAAAAGTAATGTATTCAGGTTATTATTATTATATTTAATTTTTTTTTTTTAGGGAATGTTTCTTACTTTTATGACAATCTTCCTTTCATCTCTTTTGTGATTTCTGATGCATTATAAATGTTTCTAATCGGCATGTCTGTTCTTAATGGTGGTATGCAACCCCTTTCATTAGGGGAACCATCACTTTTCTGACAGACGTAACTATAGTAGAATACTCCAATATACCTTAAGAAAGCGTAAATTAAAGAAAGCATAAATTAGAAATAAACATAACCTCAACTGCTAGTCTGGAAACCTCTTCAAACCCTTAAAAGACATGCTATTCTGTCATCTATCGGCTCACTAAAAAATATCTGTTGTCTCGAGTTGTATTTTTGAAATTAATGTTATATGAAGTTAATGTTATATATTTGAAATTAATGTTATAAGACTTAAAAAAACTTTATTTTCAGTTCTTCAGCACCCATTAAGTATGATTTTTGTCTTGTATCGTCATCCAAGTTTGGTTAAATATAGGATACATTTCTTAAGGGATTAAGTTAAATTCCTGCCCACCTTATGCAACTTGATATAAATTGTTCTGTGTTTTGCACGGCACTTAACAGGAGTAAGTATTTGGCACTCCTGTTAAGATGCTGTCAAAATTCTTTTATGCTTTGAAATTGATGTTATTGGCTTCTTGACACTGGCAGGAAAATAGTTAACTTCAAGTGGCTGTAATTACTGATGTTTTTCCATAAGATTCATATCATTATAATTTTTTGAGTTTGACATTTGTATATGTAGTAGTTTATTATTTTTTTTCTTAGATATCAAGTTCTGTTTATTTTTATTTTTCTCACTTTCTCCACAGTTACACTTCATTTGTGGATCAGCAGTACCTGATTTACCTGAGATCAAATGGATGAGGTACGTTCTCTTGCTATAAAAATATCCAGATTAATTGTATAATGTTATATCTTAACTCAGTATGAAATTGTCTTAGTAGGCTTTTCTAATCATGCTTAAAATGGATCTGTTTTTTGGGGGAGGTTATTTAACTATTTTTTTTTATTTTGTTTCAGTATTATTCATTTTATTATGTTACCTTTTTAAGTCTTAACTTCTGTTGTGTATTATCACTTATCTTTAATCTTTACCATTGCCATTTAGTGCACAGCTCCAATTTCTTCATGATGGAACAAAAACATAACATAACTGTGTTTAATGGTTTTTAAAGCAGATTTCAGTGGTAATGTCTGTATTTGCATATATGATAATCCCAACAGCTTTTATGATTAATATTACTCATGGATTTTGTTAAAATATACCCAAAGTATATTGATATAATTGGATAGAAATAAATATGAAAAGTTCATAAAGATTTGTACAAGAACAACAAGCAAAGATCAAATACAAATTCATATATTCCAATATATATATTAATTTGTCTACCTACTTATAGGTATATAGCTATGTAGATCAGCATTTTTTTCATTTATGGGACTATCTTTCAGGGACCTTCAAAGTGGCTTACATTGCTTTGGTTTATAATTACAACAA